ACCAGCTACAAAACTATTTTTAGGACAACATTTTCTGTTACAGCTGTGATTTTGCACTTTGGACATGAAAAAAACCATTAGCCGATGAAAAAAGTACTTGAAAAGCCATCAGATTTAGCAAAAGCCTTTTTAGCATGAATTGTCAATTTTACACACACAATTTTTTTAATGTTTTCCATGAAGGAAGCATGGTAGTTAATTATTTTATCCGTTCTATTCCATACCAATTGTTACATAATAATGGCAGAACATGCAATTCACCAGATTAATTTCTATTTTTTATATATCAATTCTATGGAAAGTGTGACTTTTCTTTATTTCAAAATTTCATGTTAGCTTAAAACATTTAGTCTAACTTACATCAATGGTACTTCCACTGTCAAAATTTGTATAATGACCAAATTTGTAACGGTTTACTTCTTTCAGAAATATAATTTTTTTGGCTTGTTAAGGAAAAAATTCAATACCGTAACATAAATAAATGACGTATTAGAATAAAGTCAGTATAACTATAAGCTTTACATTATAGCAAATAAGAATAAAGAAAACTTTTTCCCTGACATTGTTAATAATATACTGTATATCTGCCTATGTTGATTTAAAGGAATAATCACCCACATTTGGGGCATGTATGGAATCAATACACTAAATTTTTGACATAAACAAGAATGAATAATTATGTTTCGCGTTTTTATTGTTTACTAGTTGTTGTTCTTTCAAAATGTGTTAATGTGGTTTGCATGCATATTTGAACAATGTTTTATAAAGAAATAATGTGTAAATGCCAATGTTAAAAATGTATAAAAATATTTGAACTTTTATGAACGTAACACTATGAAAATAACTAGTGTAATAAAGTTTTTGGTATGTTTTATCTTCATTGCATGAAGAATTTTCATACAAACGTTTTTCAAACTTATCTACAATTTCCCTATAACACTTAAATTGTTTTGTGAATCCCTCCATCTCTTTAAGTTATTATTTGCATTTGCAAGGTCTCAAAAACTACTATTCTGAAGTCAAATTCAGTTGTACGTGTAATGTTTTTGTAATTTAATAATACATGAATATGTTTTCAGTTTATCTGCTTTGAAAATTATTTTTTATATTTTTTTCATTTGACTTTTGATTACGAATTTCACAGGTGGATTGTTTCGATGTTTAGACAAAACTTTAATTAAAAAAAATATGTGGAATAAATATAAAAATAATATGTGGAAATTAAGTATATTTGCCACTTTCAGAGATTTTTTCGCAGATGAAATAATAAGAAATTAATTGTAGTTTTCTTCATATTTCAATGACCATGTATATTTGTACAAGTCAAAAATAGATTTTATCTGTTCTGTTTAGATAATAATAGTATTTCTTTTTGTCAATGCACCACTAACATAGAGAATGTTGACAAATTAATGAAATGTATATAATGGTATGTGGTTAACAAACATTGTAGATCAATTTAAGCAAATGCCTCTAGATTAATGCTTATTGTCTTGAACATTTTGAAAATATATCTAAAACTGAACTATTTTGAAGTGAACAAAGAAAGAAATTTAATAAATTTGAAAACAGCATTTACAATCCATGAAATTGCCAAAAAAATGTCAAAATATACAAAAATAGTTCTTACTACTTAAGACACAGTACATACAATAGAAATATGGTGATAAATTTTGCAAAGTCAGCCAACAATGGCTCAAACCATGTATATTATTACTTGAATCTTGAATCTCTACATTTTTTATTTGATTTTTTCAAATATTTTGGCTCATCTAGAGGCAAACAGCTTTAAGACTATTTGTCAAGGGCTGTCATATTTTAGGAAAGATTGTAATACTGTTTTGTGATATATATATATATTAATATTTTTCACATGTTAAATTACACTACATACACATTGACTTGTTTTTTTTCTCTCTATTGTATGAGATAAGTTTTTATTATATGGTAGGAGACTGTTTATTGACAATGTACATACAGTGTATGTTCCGAGTTGTTTGTTTTGTTGTTTTTGAAATGTTCTAGAACCCTGTGATGTCACTACTGTTGAAAATATAAGTATAAATATATATTTCTTCGTATATTTATTCATATTAATTTATTTTAAAAAAAATTGAACAGTTATTCAATAAAAATTGAAAATTTGAAGACTTTTTCATTTCTTTGAGGTACCCATGGTGTTGTTTTTACTGGTAGTTTTCTCTATGATTTCAAACTCTGACATGCATACTAGTTTTATGTGAGTAATGAATTAAGCTCTAAATTTCTACGGCTTATTTCCCTTGTTTCAAGTCATATGAACCTCTCAGTCCTATGATATGCAATGTTAGAAGTCTTGATAAAAGAAGCTCCACAGATGTCTAAAAGCCTGTGAACATAGAATTTGATATTATAACATAGATTAATTAGGGCACTTAACTCATTACTTCATATCCCCCTTTTTGAGGCCTCAAGTAGTGAAAAAAATTCCCTATTTAGACCCCAAACACTTGTTTTCGTTAGAGAAATGGTTAAAAGAAGTGATCACTTTTCCGGCGCCATCTCCTATCAAATAGATAAAATCAAAGGGGTGCCAGATGGGGGATGTGCGCCCTTCTGTTTCGGGGGTTGAAGGGGCTCGACAGACCCTCCCATCTCCAAGAAAATGTTGGGACTTGTTTTGGAGTCTAAAGATGGCCCCAGATCGACCTTAAGGTAACATATAACCATCGTGGAAAAGCCTTTGACGCTTTCTCAATCCATTGAGAAGTTGTTGCACTTTGTAATCAGTTTTCATGGAAAAAAAATCAAGGCAAAATAGTGATTTTTGGCAATTTTGAGATGTCCCCTCGTTGCCATGGCAACAGGAAATTTAAGATGGAGTATGCGGGGTCAAAGCCTATGGCCCAGTCAACATTTGTGCCAAGTTTGATTAGTATTGACACCTTTTTATAATTTCATAATAATTTGAACTTGTAACAGGAGGCTTTTCAATGAAAATAGCCATTTTTCACAAAATGCCCATGAAGTAATAGACTAAAACAGAAGATATATAAAAGTCAACAAGAAATACACTAAACTCATTTTGTGCAAGTCTTAGCCTGCAAAAGTCATTCTAACGTTTAACATTTTTGATCATTATGCACAATAAAATGATTATTGTAGGAAATAGGAGTGAGCAGATATGGCACATAAGTCATTGGTCCGGAACTTCATCAAATGATGCACATACCTCGAACATATATCTCCAAAAATGTTGTCAGAAAACCTCAGTGGAGTCCCTGTAAGTTGGTCTTAGAGCAACAGAAAATGACAGTTTTAAGTTGAAGCAGGGACAACAATTCCCTTGATGAATAATGAAATGTCCCTGCTTCTCTATCCTACCCAATAAAAATCAATTATTTTCTAAAACAGTTTTGTTTGGCCGATTGTTTTCTCCTCCTTTTTTAAAAAATCTAAAATATAGTACAATGAATAAAACAATAATGTAAAAGCATTTTGAAATTAATTTGTCACCTTGCCATTTAAACATATTCTTATTTAGTCATAAAGCAGTAAGCGCTTCCAACGTTTTACTTTTAAAATGACAAGGTAATCCAATTTGGCATCCATTGGCAATAAGCATAAATATACAAAAACTAAGATTTGAGACAATCGAAAAATAATCGAGATTAGAATATCCTTAAAATACGACATTCGATCTTGTAAAAAGACACTTATTTTATGAAACGCAATATTTTATTCAGTGCCGTGGAATGAATAAAACAGTTTATGGACTACATGTATCTAGGTTTCAAAGAAATCTGTATGATGTTACTCTTTACGAGATATTTGTCCTAATGACACGGAAGTCTCCACATTTTTCTGTCTTGTCACAAAAATCATGTACAATCATTTGTACGTAGTAACAAAGCAAGAACACTCAGTACCTTGAAGTATAAACACAAAAACAGTCCAATTTGATAGATTTTGAATGGTATTATAAATGTAATTTGCAAGAAATAGTTTATACCTTTTCCAGTATAAGTCAATCTTCTCAATAACACGTTTAAAACCAATTTTTATTAAAAAAAACAACAACTTTTTCTGTTCGGAAAAAAAATCACGTCTCGCTTGCAATTCGTAATCGCATCTTCTCGGCCCTTTCCTACAAGTTTTCATTGCAATTGAAGAAAATGAAAATAGAATGTTTAAAAGTTAATTTTGCACATTTTTTATATTCAAATCTGTTCCCATCTTAACAAAATAAACATATATAATAAATAAATGTAAAACAAATTCTGAAGAAAATTTTAAGTTAAATTGTCGTTAAATACTAAATGTGCCGCACATAAAATTGTATCAATGAGGAAAACACTTTTATATAATATAATTGGGAAAAGCACTTTTACAATACGCATTTATGTCATAATATAAAAGCCAGAGAAGCACTGATTCCCTGTTTTGTGCCCGACTCACCGGTAACCAATAATACATAATAAGCTTAAAAGAAGTCTATAAAACCCAAATTATTGACCAAAGAATGGAGTCAAAGAAACATCGTGGACCTAAAACAAGGATTGTTAAAAAATCTTCATATGGGTAAGTCGATCAATTTTATGAGTCGTGTTGATTTTAATTACATGTACATTAAATGTATTTGCATTCCTTTATGTGACTCTCACTATATAAATTTTTGAATACTCTACATGTTCTGCAGTAAAAAAAAGGTTTATATTTCGGGGTTTATGAGTAACTATTAATATTTAAAATTTATTTTAGCTTCTAAATTGGCTCGATTATTTCATAGAGATATTGATTAAACTCTTGCCATGGTTTAAGTTGACACATAGCGGTAGACTAATTACGATTATTCTATTATTTGTAGGCCTACAATCAATTCAATCGCAATAGAGTTTAATATTTTCCGAAAATGCAATTTCAATTACGTGATATAAATGGTATTGACATAAAGGTAGACCGATATCAAATAAAATACATTCATATATATTCTTTCGCATTATTGAAGATAAAAATTAAAAATTGGTTTAAGAGATCTGATGTCAGTAAGGAAACTTATTCAATCGACTCGTATAATAATCTGCTGAGAATGCCTGTTTGTGTTTGTAATACATTGTGGACATTGACATGTATTGTAGCAGTAATTGTGTTGTATCATTTTACAACAATATTTGTTTGGACATTAACAACTGGATTAGTTACTCTTATCTTGTTTAATGCAATTAGAGAACAGAGCCATAGTAACGATTGTTTAAAAGATGGAATGTTTGGATCATTGCTGGCTGTTGTTTTTGTGGTTGTGGTAGCAATATTGGCAAAGGGTTTACACTATGGATACACTTTCACAACATGTTACTTCAATGAATGTTGCGACGACAACTGGATCTCTCCAAATATCAGTGGTAAAACTTTGTCAATATAATAATAATAATAATAATAATGAATAATAATAATAATAATAATAATAATAATAGTTATCATAAAGACTTTATTTAACGAGAGAACTCATTTAAATATCATATGCTCTAACTATATTGAAGGGACCGTTAAATTGTAAAGTTTAGATAGTTAACAAAATTATTCAATACTATATATTCAGCATTATAGTTTTCATTTAGACTATAAGCAAAGTATTGAAAAAATATACATTTTAACTTCTTATTTTGAAAAGCAATTTACAATGGGAACTACTATTTTAAATGATGTTACAAAGCGTTTCTTTTAGGCCTTTCATTCCAACTGAACAAAAAGTTGTACGGTCAACATCTAGTAATTGGTCCTTTGGTGAAACACCTTAGAGGTCATGTCGAAGGACAACATCAAAAAGCAACAATACTTTCTTTACATGGTCTGCCTGGAACGGGGAAAAACTTCGTGAGTCGCATGGTGGCAGATAACATGTATATCAAGGGAATGGAGAGCAATACGTTCATCTCCTTTCAGCAACGAAAGATTTTCCTCACGAAAGTATGCTAGAAGAATACAAGTTATGTTTAAAAGAAATGTTTAAAGTTCTAGTTCTTCATATTTTACAAGTGTTTACAAATTTAGCCAAATTTTACATTGATAAATAAGAAAATGTACGAGATTAGAACAGATTCAGGTGCAAATATTTGTATCTCCATGTAGTTACATAACTACTTGATCAGTTCGATAATAATCCGAGATTAATTCGTAAATTCCTTTGTCACACAGGAAACCCTGAAAATGAAGATTGAAACAGCTGGTAAAGAATGTTCAAGGTCACTCTTTATCATTGATGAAATGGATAAATTACTTCCTGGTTTAATTGACACTATCCGCCCTTACGTTGATTACTACGACCACGTGGAAGGAACATACTTTAAGAAACTCCTATTTCTCTTCTGAAGGTAAAATGCTTTCCTGTTCATGAATTCATTTATATCATTAAATTGAAGAGAGTCACTTGTAAAAACAAATAGCAGTATTTTCGTTACGTGTAGTATCTCACGAGAAGAGAATATTACTAACGTGAACTTCATGACGAGTAGGAGCTTGAAGATCATATCTCAGGAAGGAACTTCCTGTACTGAATTTATTAGTTCAATGTTTGCGGGGTTTATATCATCATGTAGCCAGTTACATACTACAACATGTAAGAACGTCAAATAGCAGTGTAGTTCATTTCCTGCAATTTCTTAATCAGACAGTACAGTATATTAGTCAGTAGTGTAACAGCGGAAAACGTTTTATTATAGCGAGCTCGAAGAAAAGACCCGAAGAAGGGCCTGCTCGCAAATCGACATTTACGGTAATGCGAGTACCTGCTACATAGTGTTGGCTTTTAAAACTTTCGCCGGAAGTACTGAATAATTATGGGTAATTGATCAATCGAATCTACGAAGGAATCTTTGATTGAAAACGGATGTGTAGACATAAAATATGTAGCCGCCGATGGCTTTAAATTAAAATGTTATATAATTTCTGTCAAAAAGCTTGCTTTGAGGCTCTGCTTTATTCATGTTAGAAGCCTTACATAAATATGTTTTTCAGTAACACGGGTGGAGACAGTCTTGCTAAACATGCTCAAGAAAATCATGCTCGTGGAAACAGTAGAAAAGAACTGAGACTAAAGGAAATGGAAGAAATTGTACGGACGTCATTGTTAAATGAACCCAAGTAAGTTGATTAAACATTGTGTTTAATAATTATAGAACTAGCATGTGGTTCATGCCCTTGTTATAATGGATTAAGGACATGTAAGGTGCAAAATCAAATTAAGAATAAACACTGAATGTGAAATAAAGTTAGCACAATATCAACAATGTAGATTATTGGCTTCCATACAAAAATACTAATCACTATAACAATTAAACTAATAATTGGGGGGGGCCCAAAAAAACCGGCCAAAAAAAAAAAAAAAATAAGCAAAAGGATGACATTTTTTGTTGTGATTTTACTTTCCGAGGGAACTGTATGGCTAAGGAGCATTTTTTTGAAACTGTATCAGAACAAAAAAAAAGCTTTTGAAAACAAAATGAAAATAAAGTCAGTGAGAATTGAGTACCGCTCAAGCCGGTGCTAGGGGGCGTGAGGGATGTTGCACTTATTCATTATCCCTCATGTACAGACTCAATCAAACCGAGTCTGCAATTCTTATGTAATTTTGTTGTGATTAATGCTTCCGTGGGATCACTTTGTTTCCAGATTTTTAAGACTTAATGGGCCTTTTAAACGCTATGTGTTATTCATAATCAAAGACTAAAGTGTCACTCACTAGTACTTTTATTTGTCTTTCCTTAGAGACATTGAATAAATACATGCATAAAAATCTCTAATCTCGATAAATGTCTCTTTCTCATACAGATGGTATGGTGAACAGTAGCATCGTCAAGAATAGCCTTATTACCGCTTTTATCCCGTTCCTACCATTGGAAAGGAAACATGTTGAAAAATGCATTGTAGACGGACTATTTGCAAGAGGCTTTTATGCGTATGAATACCAAGTAGATTATGATTTAGTGAAATCAATTGCAGAGGAAATGTTGTACTTTCCTGAATTTAATAAGTTATTTTCAACAACTGGTTGCAAACGTGTTATGGAAAAAATTGATTTGATAATGTTAGAAGAGGCATAAAATTTTACATTCCGTGTGACTGTTTGTTAGATTTGACATGTATTTTGTTTAAACATCTTTTATTTCTCAGAACATATATATATACATGTTTCAATTTACAATATACACAAAGCATTTCAAATATTGTAACAACACAGGATTAGAATAGAAGACAAAGTGTCTTATGAAATTCTTACCCTTTGTGAGAAGTTGACAAATAATAGGCGCTTAAACCATAATATGTTGAATAATCTGAGAAGAATACAAAACAAAATCAGCGAGTTTGTATGTGTATGCATTTGTAAATGATTAGATTATGGCCATAGATATGTTTAATAATTACTAAAAATGAAGAATCTGTAGGCTTTATGTTTCTCTTTTTTATGTGGATTTTTCAATTGGATTTAGATTCGGACAAAAAATGATTTAAATATTTGTATCGCCATATTTGAATACATTTGATACAAGTATGACTACCAGTAAGGTACGAGTAACAAACCATATATGCAAGTATATAAAAGCTTTATCTGACTTTCTCGGAGAAAAAAACCTTGTGATATGTGTTTTATAATGCTGAAAGGTAATGGACAATTGCACACTGAGAGTGGGATTGCTTGTTTTTGCATGGATTTAACATTCTCACCTACTTTGGTCTCAAGAAGCCAATCTACCCATGAAATCCTATCTGTGAATTTATCTGAGATAGCTCTGAGATTATCATTTGGCAATATTTGGTGATAGTCAATTTAGAATAATGACTTCTAGAATGTTAAGCTTTTCTTGACCTAGTGTTTTACCAAATGTTTCCAATATTCTAACTCATTTAAGGAACTACTTATATGCACATTCTGGCAAAGTTTGATGAAGATCCAGTCAAACCTGTGATCTCCTCAACAGAGGACGACGGATCGAATGACCTATGCTAATAGCTCACTTAAGAAACAACTCAGGTGAGATCAACAACTTTTATCTCATATTCACAAGAACAGTTTGCATCCAGGGACAAATGCTTGCAAAATAAATTGAAGTTTAAGTCACTGCATGCTTTTTAATCTGCAATGTTAACAGTGGGATTTCATTCAACTTTCGGGTATCATTTTAGTTTTTCAATAGACAGAAATTCAGCTTTTACAAAGCTTTGAAAGGTGATAAATTATCTACATATCTTGTTTCAGGTTTGTAAGTTGCCCCATTGCATCACAGACAAAGGCACTAAATAAGAAATAATAAATTTGTCCGTTTGCATAAAGTGCAAAACTATCAGTGTTTTCAAGATTCCAAGTTTTAAAGTGAATAGTGTTTCGTTTTGAACCTTTCTAGGAAAAGTCTAATGCCTACGTCACATTACGAGCGGAAACCGGCCGATATAGAGGGACCGTTGATAATTTGAGATCGGAGAGAAACATTTCAATTATGTCCGGGAGGAAGTGGGCGGTCATTCTCCCTCTGTGGTCAGTTATAGGTATTCATAAGGTTTGCGAAGGGTACTCGTCCGGTCACCCGGTGAAAACATTTGGCGTCTCCTTTCTGGACACCGGTCAATATTCTAAAGATACCCGGCAGAATACCGTACGATAAATGTCCAATTGCCTTCCGATATCTAGCCTGTTTGCAACAATCGTACGGTGACGGTAAAGTATACGTGCGATATCTGGTCGGCTCTCAGACGGTATTCGTATGGCATGCTGTCCCATTTCCCGGCCGTTATTCACACCCCGTCTTTTGTTGGCATTTTTCATTGCCTTCTCCCCCTCTGATTTCTTCCCCACTCCTTCTTTGCTTTCTGCTTTGGAAGGTATATTATACTCTGAAATCAAAGTTTCCCATAAAAGATTGTAAAAGAAACTTGGAAACTTTTATAAACCTCCATGAACGTGTGTGAAAACTGAGAGAATATGTGTTTGTGTAATTGAGTTTCTAAATACTCGCCATCGGTTGCCCGTATAGGCGAGTTCTCAAGAAGAGTATTAGTGGTTCTAGATGTTGGAGGACAGCGCAAGATACACATGGCAGTATGTCAGAAAAAATATGAAAACAAGATCAATAAGGAAGGCGGCGTTAAATGAACGCAACCCCGACACTATCTAGCAACACAGGATGACCAACGTCAAAGAGCCAAGCAGGACTCAAACAATCTTCTGCTTCTGTTTTACCTATCCAAGTGTTTAAGCACTCATACAGGGACCTCGCTTTAAAGTCTCGTCTGAAAGATTTCTAGTAATTTCAGATGGTCATCCCGGGAATCGAACCCACAATGTCCAGATTACAAGTCTAGCGATTTAACCGATTCAGCTCTGCATGCTGGCTAATGAGAGAATGATGGTGTTATTAATGATTAACCCTGAAGACTTTGGCAGAAAACCAACTTGAATATACATACAAGAGCACAGTTCAGCCACCGCATCGTTCCTGGACAGTCTGTCAAGTAGTTAAACATTGATACTCATTTCACTTTCGCAAAGTACTGATAACATCTGTACAACGAAAGTGACCTTCACCGTCGTCCGAGAATTGAACACGGGTCAAAGGCTTTACCTGCCGTTGGGTCTGTTTAATAACCCAAACGCTATCCTTACAGACATTTTAGGACCATACGTGCGACGAACTGAGTCCACCCGGGTCCCGGTCAGTAATCTGCCGAGACGCCTTCGGTGACCGCTCAGATACCGCTCGGAAACTGGAGGAATATTTGGTGCCCAGGAGGTAAAAATTCTAACCTGTATGTAACCGATAACAAAAGGTGTCCGGCCGGGTATCGGATGGTATTTTAACGTGTCTGCTACGTTGAGCTGGCGATGTACCGGATGCCGGAAGAAAATAAGTTTGCACTAGAATTCTCCGATTACCCGTACGTTGCCCCATCGGTCACTTGACCCCGGAGGGTCACCGGCCGGTGACCTTTA